GATAGATTCAGGGCAATTTTTATCACAATTGCAATGACACTTTTCTGCATGAAAGGAAAACTGTCCTAATGTTCATGTGGAATTTCAAATGTTTTAGTAATCAAAACAGAAACGCAGTTTATAACTGTCTGTTGAAGTGTATCAGAGATGATGAGGCTGACACAGGAGAGGGCAGGGTTCACATGTGCTGTTCACAGGGTCCTGTGAATCACAGTCAATTTGATGGCACCTACCAACAACAACAATATGTAAGGTTATAGTATTTACTGTTTGTATTTCGGGTGGTGATGAAACACTGTAGAAAAACCTGAATGGCTATCCAAAGGCCGTAATTGAGAAGCTTGGAAATCCATTGTAGGGGGAGGAATTAACTATTCAGCTATTAAAAAGATTGAGTTAAGATGATATATATTAGTTGGGGCAGTTGTTTTTGACAGATTAAATGGAAACATCAAATTAAAGAGAATATAAACAGTGTGACCTCATTTCAAAAAAATTAGACAAAGAACTCTTTGTACATAACTATTTACATTTGTATGTGTTTGAGCTTCGAGAAAAGTTAGACTCTAATTCAAACCTTGGAGTAGAGGGAAAGTTGGAGACAGTGTGTGATTACAGACAGATTATACTTCTCTGCACTCTTTGAGTGATACAGGCGTCATTATTGCTTTTATTGTACATGGTCTTGCAGAGACTGATTGTTGCCCATCCAACAATCATTCTTCCATTTCTCCTTAGTAACATAAATGCATTTGCTTTTTTGTTTTGTTTTGTTTTTTAAATTATTTTTAATGAACGTTTACAGAGACTTAGGGTTTCCAGTAATTCATTGTTGCAATTTTCTCCCTACCAACACCCTCCTCCCAATTGACTCTTCTCCTTGAAAAGACTTTTTCATTGTTATGCAATCCACCCTCCCCCCGCCCCGCCCCAAGTCCACTCCACTATGCAGCCTATGGACTTCTTTAATGACAAAATACCCACTCATATATCCCTTTTTTTTTCATATATCCCTTTTAAACAGTTCTCTCCCTCATCTGTTTCAATGCAGTATATATCATTCTTCCCCTCCTTTTCTGTCTTCCCTCAACACTGATATCAGTCCCGTTTTACAACAGTGACCCTATGCAGTATTTGTCCTTTTGTGACTGAGATATTTCACTCAGCATAATGTCCTCCAGGGTCACCATTTTGCATAATATTTCATGAGTTGCTTGTTTTTCAATGCAGCATAGTATTCCATTGTGTGAATATATCAAAGCTTCTCTATCCATTCATTTGTTGATGGGCACTTGGGTTGTTTCCAGCTTTTTGCGATAGTAAACAAAGACATAAGAAACATGGGAGTTCATCATACATGCAATTTTTATTTTCCCATTTCCCCTTAATAATAAAGCCTCATTGTCACTAAGAATAATAGAAGAGTACCTATCTCAGTTTCTTTTATAGCAAGATATACACAGTGTAACCAAATTCCACACAGTAGGATATATTAGAGATGCTATATGAGACTTTCTGGGCAGCTACTTTCTTATTCTTGGAATGTGGATTTAATGTCTGGAGCACTAGCAGCCATTTCAGACCATGAAGTTACTTAGAAAATTATACAGAGGAAAAAGGAGATTGGATTCCTGGAATCATCATGACTCTACTTGCTTTTATACTCATTTTACATGAGAGAGAAAAATTCCATCTTGACTCAACTGTTGCTATTTTGTAGTTTTTGCCTTACATGTGGCCAACTCTCATCATACAGAATAGAAAAAGGAAAGTCCAATAAGGTATTTTGTCAGAAAAAAAATTTTTTCCTCAAAAATCCTATTGACCCCATTTCTTCCTCCTTCCTGAGAATGGAATTGAAGCTAAAGAACCAGCAACCTTCTAGTTAGATGTCGAAGATTTTAAATAAGACATATTTCTAAAACAGTACATTTCTGATAAAATTGTTTGTCTGCTTATTATCCTAGTAAAAAACTAGCATGACGGTCTGATACACTCTTCCTTTCTTTTAGATTTGTTCATACTTCCAAATCCTCCAATAACATTTTGTCTTTTAAAATCAAGTCCTTTATGACCTAAACGTATCTGAGGTCATAAAATATTTTCTTCATGGGTTGCAATATTTCCTGGCACATGTGCATTTCAGTAAAATGATCAGTGTATTAAAAACCCAACAGCGTTTCTGTAGTGTGTCAGAAGCCAATGATGGCATGGCACCTCCCCGGTGGCATGTGTGAAATCTGCCCATCACTATAAACATTCTTCTGCAATATGATCCTCTGCTCTTATGTCCATTTCATATGTGGTGTTCAATGTCCTGGGAATGCTAGGGGGAAACATCCTTTTTGAGGGACTTCCCTGTAGAATTAAAGTGTGGAACTTACAAGGATCATCTCCTTTCGGATTTTTACAAGAGGAAACTGAGGCCCAGAAAGATCATCTGACTTTCTCAGAGTAATTCAGCTGGTTAATGGCAGAGCCACAAATAGAACTTAATGGTCTGACTTTAGGTTTTAGGTTCTTTAATTAGTTTCATCTAATAATTGACACTCTGGTAATGGGTTCAGGAAAGTTTCTTTTCTTTCTGTCACTTCTTAGTTTGTGTTACAGGATATGATGTTTCCTGACACATAAAGCCAAGAGTATTTTTTTCTTTTTCAATGAACTGAATTGTATCTATCCTGCAAAAGTGTGCTGGAATCCTAATCCACTGGAGCAACAGGTGTTTTTTGGTTATGTTCATGAGGCCGTATTAGCTTAGGCACAAGTAGGAGAAAGGAAGATGCCATGTAGATCATCAAGGAACCAAGGAAGTCTCAGGGCTCAGGGAAAGCAGGACAAGGATTTCCCTCTGGAACTAAGAGACAGCCTTGCCCTAGAGCTGGTGCCCTGAATTCATTCCTCCAGACTCCTAAACTGTGAGAAAATAAATGTCTGTTCTTTAAAGCCACCCACTTGTGGTATTTCTGTTACAACGGATTAAAAACCCAAGACAGCATCTAAAGGCAAAGAAATACCTAAGAAAGCAAAAGGATGTGCTCATAGCATTATGCAGTTGAGAAAGAACTTTCCTTATATGAGTCCACGGACTCTCATGACTGCTTCCCCTCTCCCCTCCCCTACATGTACACATAGCTAAAGCATGATGCCATTGAGTTCCAAGTTGAGTTTCTATCCCTATATGAAAAGTTAGCTTGGCACAGAGCTTGGCAATGCTAAGTCTGACCAGCTGTGCTCTCAGACGTAAGAGAAATTAAATGAGACAGTAGGGCTGGTTCAGGACAAATCAATCTGTGTGTCTTGAAATTTCAAAAACACATTATCAGTGAAGGCACAAAAGTCGTCATCTTTAGATAAAAATTCATTTCATTCCTAGTTTCGGAAGGTGCTATGCATGTGAACAAAGAAAGAAAGGAATAGTTGGTTTTGTGGAGGTTTTTTGGTTTGTTTTTTCGTTTGCCACATCTATCACTTCAGTAAGATTTTTGAAAGATCTGACCAAATCTGGTACGTCTTATAAACGTTATAAGTTAGGTTTGCATGTCATCTTAAAATAAAACAATGACTGTTAGCTCATCTTATATGCTACATCCTGTATTTTTTAAGTGCACAATTCAATGGTGTTTTTGTATGTTCACTAAATTATTCAGCCGTGACCACTATATAATTCTAGAACATTTTCATCTCCCCCAAAAGAAACTCTGTATCTAGGTGAGGGAGAGTATTGGTTCAATGGTAGAATGCTGGTCTTCCATGTGGGAGACCCAGGTTTGATTCCAGGCCATTGCACTGGAATGTGTAGCCATCACTTATCTGTCAGGGAAAGCTTGCAAGTTGCTTTGATGCTGAAAAGATTTCAGTGGGGCTTTAACACTGAGATGGAACAGCAAGGAGAGCTTGGCAACTACTTGCACAAATCAAATAATGTAAATCTTGTTGGACCAATCACGATGATCCAACAAGCAACCAATTGTGAGATGCTGTAGGATGGCACAGGGTTTAATTCACTTGTGCATTGCGTCACCAGGAGCCAGGGAAGACTTAAGGTATCTAACAACAATCTAGGGAGCTCTCTGGTGGCCTAGTGGTAAGGAATTGCACTCCCATCCCAAAGACTTATGGTTCAAATCTACCAGCTGCTCTGTGGGAGAAAAATGAGCACTTTTCCTCCCAGGCAATTTGCTGCGTCTGAAAACCTGCTGGCGGGTGAGCTATGGGTCAGTTCCAACTTGATGCTGTACAGTAAAAACAACAACAATCTGTTGTAATAATTTTCTATTTCAACTCATCCCAGTAGTTGGAATCACTAATTTACTGTCTGTCTCTATGACTTTGCCCATTCTGGACAAGTCTGTCTATTCTGGATACAAGCAGAATAATACAATGTACGGCCTTTTCTGCATGGCTTCTTTAACTTAGCATAATGCTTTCAAGTTTTATCCATTTTTGTCATATATACCAATGTTTCATTGTCTCAAATTTTATAATAAAAGTTTCTTGGAAAAGGGCAAATTCCTATCCTGTAATAGGACACGCTAAAGGAGAAAGTAAGACAAGATACTCAATGATTTGACTTGGCACTTAGTGTATTAATAAAAACAGGAATTTTAAAAACAGCTAATGCTTAAGAACTGATGAAACCAAACCGCTAATGGAGCATAAAAAATGAATATCTGAAAGTCAGTGCAGATGAAGATGTGTTCACTAGCATGTAGTAATCTTTTTAGTTTCATTTTCTGCAGTTGCACCAAACTTTTTACACTCCTGGGTCAGTCCATTCCTCCATCAGACAGAAAGAGAAGAGCAAGGGAAAGCACGAGGCTGTGCTGAATTTAGAAAGTTAGAGGTGTTCTCATCAGCCACATGAGATGGACAGGAGATTCCTTCCAGTAGGCGAGAGCGCAGAGTGCAGACAACAGATGGGAGAAAGGTCCTCATAGCTGTCAAGTTCCAGCATCTTTGCGCTGAAGACAGGGAGGTGCCAACATGATTGATATTTGGAGGCAGTATAAAAGCACAGGATTTCTTCCCAACTGCTTGTCACACTGACCTGCACCTCTCTCGCCTGCTCGTGGGGTTTTTGTCAATTAGTGTTGGAGACAAGAAAATTCCGTGGAAAATAACGTTTTGCCGTGGTCATGCCAGAACCCACTAAGAAAGAGGGTAAGACCGAGCCATAAACCTTATTGCTGTGCATTTTTGTTCAAGTGTATTATTTATTTTTAGGCAAATATCCAATTTTTAGAAACAATGTAAGATAAGAGGATCACTGTGGGTTAGGGACAGGATCCATTAGAATAAAAAGAACAGAAGAAAAAAGATAGCAAGGATTTACCAATTGAAATTGATCTGTTAAGGGTAGCTTATGAAGACATACTGGCTAAAACAATCAGATTATAATTGTATTATTTAATTGCAAGGAATCCTTAAAGTATAAAAGTAAAGATGTCCATTGCCAGTAGTGAATAGATTACCTCTTCAAGTATATTTTACTAGGCTCAATCATAAATTTGTCACCATGTATTTGCAGTACTAGGGGAGGAAATTGAGAATACTTTCTTAAAAGGTTAACAGAATGGGCCAAGATTTCAGAAAAGAATTTGTGGTGAAATTACTGGGTTTGTGTATTTTATATGTATAGATATATATTAATACAGATGGTGTTTATTACTTTTAGCAGTGTCTTAAAACTTCCCTATTTGTGACAGTATTGATTTTTCTGCATGGAAAGAAAAAAAAATCCAACATCTAGATAAAAGAGAATACCTTTGAATATCACTGATAAGTTTTTCATTAGTTTTATGTAGATAATCTTATAATGTGTAGACTTTTACAAGGAACTAAACAGAAAATTGCTGCAGTGAACTCAAGTATGTCAGAAGATGAGGTTGTAAGGATGACACAGGATGGATAGGTCAGGCTTCAGATCTGTTGTTCATCGGATCACCATGGGTCTGTACTTGACTTGAGGACACTTAACAAGAATGATGACAAATGGAAACCATGAAAATTCTCTGCAAAAAATATCACCTCCAGAAACAATGTTCTTGTTTCTATGAAAAGAAGATTTGATCAGTATTTTAAAACTTCTAATTAAGAACATGATTAATGATAGCAGATTAATAAGCCAGAATTAGTAATTGCTAACATTTTGCTAAACAGAAAACTACAGATAAATAGCTTGGGTACCTCGTTTCATTTTTTATGGAACTCTATTAAAACAATACCATTTTGCTCACTTTAGACTTTTTTATCGTGCACTGGATATTTTTATTTCTGGAAAAAAGAAATCCAAATAAGCAGACTAACAGGAAGCATAAAAATCACATTTCAGTTTTCCCCCAGCTTTGTTTTCAATTCTTAAGACTGCCTGTTGTTTTTGAGGTGCCCTGAACAATAACTACATGATGAATTCTCACAACTGGAAATACTAGCCAAATTATCAAAAGTCTTTTAAATATATTTTCTTTATGTCATTAAGTAACCAGTGTTGACAGGCCGTGGTGATCACTTTACAAGCTGGCTTTACTTAGTGGTGGAGGGCATTGATGGATGAAGTCTTCCACCCAAAATAACCACACCAAATGCATGCATTAATATGGGAACTTAATCCTGACGATCAGGCAGCAGGTCCAACCCCTGCTAAAGAGTCTTATTTGTAATGCAAATGATTTACATGTGTATTAAGTGTCCTTTTTATCTGATCTGTCACTTGACTAGCCTCTTCAAAGCATACTTAGGTGGAGTATATTCTATGCTTCCTGACTGAGAGTAGAATATTGTTTTAATTATCCTGAGTTTGGGGGGTTGGGGGGATACATTTGCATTTGTTATTTTTAAGCCTGGTGGAAACTGCCAGCAAAACTGAAAAATTAATGAATAAAGTGATGGGCTCCAGAGCCTATGAAGCTAATTAAGTCACTAATTGCTAGGTGTTATGAAGTTTTACTCTTTATCTGACTACTCAGTCGGATCAATTCTACTTTAAGACGGTAAAATTTTAGAGCAAGAAAGAGAGAAATGCATCTTTTTTTCCCCCAACCCTAATAAATTCACAAGGATATAAAAATCTCCACTACATCTTTTTTTGTTTGTTTTTTTTTCCTTTATGCTTGCTGTTGACACGGAATATACAGGGGGCTTTTCAGCAAAGACAGTAATGTGGTTTCTGTAGATTTTTGGATTAAATTTGGATGTGGCAGAGCAGTGGAATAAAAAGAAAATAGTGAATATATGCAGAAGCCTCTGAGAAAATACAGTTTATGTTTTCTTACCAACATAGCTGATTTCTTAAAAGGAAATATACCTTAAAGAGTTTTCCTGGTAAAGGTCTTACATTTTAATATTGTTGACATTAGAATTAAAAGGAATACAATAAATAATCTATTAATTCTTCCAGTCCTTTATACCTTCTCCTGATTTCATTTTCAGGAGGGTTCTTTTTATTCTATGTAAGTATCCCTCTAAATGACAACTCCCAAAAATATGCCACCAAACTAAATGTACAGAATCATTTCAAGCCATAAGCAGACAGTTTCTTAAAAATCAGCTTCCCCTGCACTGTAATCCCAGAGGTGTGTGGTTTGAATCCACAAGATGTTCTTTCTGCTGGAGAGAGACAGTCTCCTCCTGTACCAGTCAGATCCGATTTGATGGTACCTGCACAAAAAATATAAAATAAAAACAATTTAAAAAAAATAATCAGCTTCCCCCTATCCCTGGCAGGCCCTCTAAGCTCCCTTCCTCAGTCTTTCTCAGGTGATCATTTGCTGCGGACTTTGATGGACTGACAGCTTTAGCCTTGCTGGGATACAGGAGGACTGGGCAGGTCTTCAAAAGAGGCTGAGTTTTCAGCACTTGCAGGTGCAAAGAGTGCCTTTTTCATTTCCCTCCCGACCTCCCTCCCGTGGCCTGGTTCAGAGAGATTCATGTTGGGTCTCAGAAGAGCTGGTCCTTCCAAGGAGGAGGAAGAAGGACAGGTGCAACTTTGAACCTCAAGGAGGAAGGTTAATGGAAGTAATTAGTTAACAGTTCTTATTTAGAGCCTTGAATATATTCTAGGTGGCCTGGTGACCTCTTTTGGAGTAAAGAAGCATTATTTTTAAGAAGCAACCGCTCCCTGCTACCCTCCTTTTCATCCATCAGTTGTGTATTGTTTATTGGAAAACATTATTATTTGTACTTTCATCTCCAGATTTTTTTTAAACTCCTATTTTTTTTATAACAAATATGATATATTTAAAATGCGTGCTTTGGTGAAAGCAGACTGAGGTTCAATCGGCATCAGCTCCAAAAACAACAACAAAAAGACTAGAGTAGGGTATTTGTCCATTTTGCATTGGCTGCTTGGGGATAATCACAACAGTTCCAAGGCCCTGGGGCCATTTTGGATTATTTCATCACTCCCTGAAAAACTCCTATGTTAACATTTTGGATTCATACAAGTCCTGAGGTTGGCAAAATTGTTACTTTAATTAAATGCTGAGAAAGGATCGGAAAGGAAACTGTAGATTTGCGGGGATCTCGAAAAATGGCACATTCATTTACACATCAACAATTAGTTGAGCACCTGTGATGGGCTAGTTTTGGAGCTTAAATAGCGTCTGTACTGAAAACCTTTTAAATTAATAACCCCTGGGACCTACTGTGTGGAGGTTGTTAAATAAAAACCAAAACAAAAAAACCCCAACAACAAAACCTAATAAAAGTAATGATAGTAATTGGAAGCAAGAATATATCTTTCAGTCAAAATACAAGTTTATCAATGGAAATAGAAAAGTGCAATAATTTTTCTTCTATACGAACATCTTGAACAATGCTTTAGGATAATGTGTTAGGAAGAAATAATTTCCTGTCAAGAGGTCTTTATCCCTAAATGATTTTTTTTCCTTAGAATTTTAACTCCCCAGTAGATTGGTGTTGAAACCACTTGATTTTTTAACATTGTTAACTGTCACATTCTATGGAACATGAAAAATTTTCCTCCAGAATACCAAGTGGTGGCCTCAACATGAATTCAGCTTTTGGTATGTGATCTGCCAGGCAAAAATTCCTCCTCGCTGTCTGTCTGTTGGCCCAGACATCACAGAAGTTGTTCGATATCATACATCAAAATATCCCTTCTTGGAAATGAAGATGTCTGGCAAATCCTAAGTCCAGTTATGACCACTCATTTCTCAGGGACCATTCTGATTCCTAACCAGAAATCAAAGCCGTTGTGTTATTGCTATAGATTGTTTTGCTCTATCAAAATGCACTGTCACCTGGGTCTTTGTCAATATAATTTTGTAGGAACATAGTAATGGAAAACAAAGTTTTTGAAAGTGTGGCAATTTTAGCACATATTAAGATTTTACCAAGTCCAAAGTCGAGCTGAATGTAAACAGCATTCTTCACCTCTTGCCTATTTCTGAGCATCACGCATGGCTTAGTCATCATCAGAAAAAGAGGCCCAGGAATGGGAAACCTCCCTCTCAGATTCACTTCTTGACCTTCAGTTTCCATCTGCATGAGGCGAGGTGGCCTCTTTGAAACACCAAAATAAATTTGCCTTTGGAAAAGTCTGCTACAATATCGTACCATTACTTCAAATTAGGGAGAAAAAAAAAATAGGATCATTTGTAGGGAGTAGGGGAGAGCTGAGAATGAGGGTGACAGTTGTATTTTATCAAGGGCAGCTGTGTGCCGCCCAACTTGGAGTGATTTGTTAGGCCAAGCTGAAGATCTGGAAGAGGAATAAAGAGGTTGTGTGAATGAATGGCACAGTCTTTTCCCTGCTAAAGCATTGCAGGGCTGTGTTGGCGATTTATGATTGGGCTGTCTGTTGTTATAAGAAGCAATCCTCTAGGGCGAATGCCCACGACAGAGGCTTAATACTTGGCAGAATGGTTCTTTCTAAGTAGCCTGCTTTTATGACCGTCCATGCTGCACCTGTTAGCAAGATAAATAAGAGCTGGCCAATTCTTTCCTCTCAAGTGTCCTAAATATATCACTTAAAAGGAAAAAAAAAAGAAAAGGGAAAAAATTAAACCACGGGAAGAACAAGTTATGTCCTTATTTCTCATCCAGTGAGTTCAAAGGAGTCTTCTCCTCAGGCCTTTCAACTATCAGTGGAGTGAGGGGAAGGGAGGTGGTGGGACGATTGAAAGTAGAGGCTAGATTCC